TCCACAAGAGCCAGTGGCGCTGCCGCCCCATTCAAAGGATTCATCTAAGGTCCCTGCTTTGGAAAGGGCCGTGGCTGAGCTTTTGGAAGAGGAGCAGCGGCAGCAGGCGGTGGACAGATGGATTGCACAGGCTTTAAGCGCCTCCTCAACAGAGAGGATTCTTGAGGCGCCTGAAAGACTGAGCGCCTCCGCACCAGAGAGACTGATGTCTGTCTCGGGCTCTGGAGGTATCAATATGGTCAACAGGGATGCAGCAGCACCGGCCTCTCTGGTGCAGCAGCAGCAAGTGGCGACAACCAGCTGGGTGGCACAGGCTGAGCTGGCAGGGCTGGCTCTGCCGCCCGATCTGATCCGAGAATCTGCACTTGCCGCCCAATTCGCGCTGAGGCAGATGCAGGAGCAATCTGAGGTGGGGAAACGGACTGTGCGAGAGAGATTTGAGAATTCTCAAAAGGGACAAGGAAGCGCCACCATGAAGCATGCATCTGCTTGCGAGCTTACTGAGTCCGGCAGCCTCTACTCACTGGGGAGGATGCAGGAGGGACAAGGAAGCGCCACCATGCAACATCCATCTGCTTGCGATCTTACTGAGCCTGGCAGCCTCTACTCACTGGGGAGGATGCAGGAGGGACTAGGAAGCGCCACTATGCAACATGCATCTGCTTGCGAGCTTACTGAGCCCGGCAGCCTCTACTCACTGGGGAGGATGCAGGAGGGACTAGGAAGCGCCACCATGCAACATGCATCTGCTTGCGAGCTTACTGAGCCCGGCAGCCTCTACTCACTGGGGAGGATGCAGGAGGGACAAGGAAGCGCCATTACGCAACATGCATCTGCTTGCGAGCTTACTGAGCCAAGCAGCCCCTTCCTCAACTCAGCAGAGAATGCTTTGCTTCCAGCCTCCCCCACAACCCCTACTGCTGTTTCTGCTGCTGCTGCTGCTGCTGCTGCTGCTGCTGCTGCTGCCTACCCGCCTACTGCTTTTGCCTCGCCCACTGCTGCTGTTGCTTCTTGTTCATCTGCTGCTGCTGCTTCCTCCTCACCTGCTCCTGGTGCTCTCTGCCTACCTGCTGCTGATGGTGTTGGTCACAAGGCCGAAAGGCGACATGGCTTGACTGTACGAGACCCTTTTAAGACGTCTCAAAGGCCTCTCTTCCCGCGTACCACTTCTCGTGTTTACTGCACACCCGCTCTGCCTGCTCCCTGCTCACGTGCTCCTGGTTCCACCTGTTCACTCGCTGCTGCCACTCCTGGTGCTTGTCATGGAAGGGATGGAGCTGCTTCTGGTGCTTGTCATGGAAGGGATAGAGCTGCTTCTGGTGCTTGTCATGGAAGGGATGGAGCTGCTTCTGGTGCTTGTCACGGAAGGGATAGAGCTGCTTCTGGTGCTTGTCATGGAAGGGATGGAGCTGCTTCTGGTGCTTGTAATCAGGGGGAAGCACATGCCTTGACACTGCAAGAGCCTCCTGCCACGTGGACGCCCCTGGATAGTTTGGGGAATGCCCCTCGGTGGTCGAAACAGAGGGGGGCGAGACAGGCAAAGCAGGAAGCGGAGGGATGGAGAAGGGAGGACCGGAGGATGCAAGCATTGGAGGCGAAGCAGTATTCACCATCGCGAGGCGTCGCAAGTAGTCCCTTCTAAGGCACTACACTTATTGCCTATTCAGGCATCACAAGTTATCGACTTTTCAGGCACAGCACCTGTCGCGTGAGGATTGGAGGCCGCGCGTTCGAGCGCGATTGGACGGGCAAGCAGTGGGGCTGGGATGCATCCAACCAAAGAGCATGAAGGAGAGGCAGCGGCGTGATCATGTCAGGTGACTTGACCTTCTTATTTCAACACCTCCTCCCCTTCTCTTCCCTCCACTCTTTATCCCTCACTCCACTGTCTCTCCCCCTCTTCCTCTCCCTCCTTTCCCCATGTCCATCCCCATGTCCGTCCTCTCGTCCCTGCCTCTTTCCCCCTCCACCCCATCCCATCTCCAAACCCATCCCTCCCCTATTATCTTCTTTTCCCCTTTCGCCATCTCCCTGTGTAACTCTTGCTGCAGTCGGTGCTGCTACGTATTTTATTTATTTATTATTGATGTTTTCGGATCTGACTCTGGGAGGGGAAGGGGATGGGCATCTAGCTTTGTGTTTTCTTGTTTGGCATTTGGCTTTGTGAGTGAGATCTTGATAAATGTATGGGACCTGGATGAAGCCTGAAACTGAGTGTGTGACCTTATCCAAATCCTGTGCTTGTATCGAATGTGACTGTATCAGGAGAGGCCTGGAGCAGCTACATCGAGCGCTACCCCCATCTCTTGCAAGAGCACAACTCGATACAGCCACAATGGTGGAGTCTGCAGTCGCTTACATAAAAGACCTGCAGGTACACTCACACGCTCTACTTTCTCATCATTTATGTTGAATAATGTTAATTGCTGCTGAATCTGAGTAACATGTTCGCATGTTTAAGGTGATTGAAGTATAGGAGCTGTTCTGAGCACCAGTGTTCATGTGTTCACGTGACCATGCAGGTTCGGATTGAAGCCATGGAGAAACCCATTCATGCTGCCATCGAGACACCGAGATCTGCAGTGGAGGCGACAGCACATGGCTCAGCATAAGCTGCCGGCACATCTAGGGTGATTTTTTTGGTCGATCTAACCATCCCTGGAGACTCCAAGCCCTGCTTGTAAGGAAGAATTCAGGGCGACTTTTGGGTTGACTCAAAAGTCACTGGAGAAGCCAAGATCTGCAGTGGAGGAGACAACATGTGGCTCAGCAGCTGTGTTCTGACTGTCAATTGACTGCAATTTCCTTGCACTTCCCCAGATTGCACCAAGTTTGTCAGTGCCAAGTTGCTCCTTTGGTTGCTGGCGCACACTTTTGAGAAGTTTCAAAAGTTTCTCTACTGATCGTCGTTGCGCACACAGCGCCAAGATTCCAGGCTCCTCAGAAGTCTGCTGATATCCTGTAAACCGCACAGCAAAGCTTCGCCTGGTATCGTGCCATGATATCCTGATGGGGTAGGTTTGCTGTGTGTGTGATTAGCCTCTAGTGTAGTTCAGCATCGATAGTGTAGCCAGTCTGCTTTGGGCATATATTGTAGTGCTGAAGCTCTGTGGCATCACTATTCTCAAGTGATGTATCACCTAATTGAAGCATGCCACAATGGTATCCTTTGCCAGCCCACGTCTGCTTTCTTGACCTGCACATTCCCTGATTATGGTTTCCCACCCTGCTTCTCGGAGCCTCTGGGCGCCCAGGCCTTTTTGTGGGACATGGTGTAGCCTGCCTCGTTTGTGTAGACTGTGAACAGAAATCCGATTTATCTCTATGGTTGTAGCCCCTAGGAAGACCTTGGATGAAAGAAGCGCATGGCCCTAAGGAGCTTTAGGCATTATGTAAGAGCATCCAGCAACTGTTGCGGCTGTCCTTTACTGAGCAACAGGTCGCAGACTTGTGAAGTACTCTTTATTGCAACTACAGTTCAAGAAGACCAGATCCCGATTGATTTTCCGTTCGCTTCCTTGATACTACACCCTCATTCTCAGTCTTCTCACCGGCGGAAGCAGTGGCTACAGTGTTTGGACATAGCGGGCTGGTGAGATAACTCGGTTGCGGGCCAAGTCGCACGAGGCGACGAAACCAGACTTGGGCCGTAAAATTCCGTCAACGCTGAATAACTGTCTTAACCGTTTAGAAAACAGCATTACCATTTTAGAACGTATAGAACCTTGACTAAACGCCCTGGGTCAAACTGTCAGTATAACGCATGTGATAGGACCTTCTTTGGTCCGCTGCGGCTACACTAAGCGTCCTGGTCAGTATAACATATGCCAGTCTAACGAGAATGAGGGTGTAATCTGATTTACGACGTTTTCTCGTAGCCCACTTATGGCGTGTACGAAGTGCTGCAAAACCTCGACGTTGAGGGACGACAAACCCCGCTACTCGTAGAAAACTCCGTCTTCCCTACCAGACGTCAACAGCAGCAGCGGTTACTCTCTGTTGATATCTAGACTGGAAAGGAGGCGACAAACTCAGGAGAGTGTTGTCGAGGCCATTAGTTAGGGTGCGCAGTGCCGCCCAAACCAGCCGGTTACTCAACCACTCGTTTATAAAGCGCAGCTCGGACCTATAACTGACGAAAGGGGCATGGCGGAAAACGACATGTTTTCACTTTGCCGCCCTCATCTCTCCCCGCTCTGGCATTCTCGCCTCAATCATACAATAATCCGTCAGCCGCAGCATGGCTTCGGGGTGATGTCGGCAAGGGCAACAGGTTCACTTGCCAACCTGTTCTCGCGAGGAGAGGCAATCCTCGACCTGGCATTCTCGCCTAGATCATGCCGTGAATCCGCCAGCTCATGCTTGGGGTTTCGGGTTGCGGGGGCAACAGGTTCTCTCTCCCCCCTGCTCTACACATGATGCCCGACCAGTGCACGCGAAATTGCCATGCACCGGATGGAAACGCTGCCCCCGAGCTGGAAACCCCTGCTTGCTGCTCCCACAGTACAAGCACATGGGTGGCTGGCAACAGTACACGCGACTCGGCCATCAATGCACGTGCACTCCCGAACAAGCCATGCCGACCCACTGTTGCCTTGTTTCTAGGCCAGGAGTCGGAGAGGCGAAATGACTGGACGAAACGACTATGGTTTAGTGAACGCATTCTCCCATCTAGGCCGCCACCTAAGCAAGGATCATCGTGCGTGTAACAGGCATTTGGTCAGATACAACCTGCCACGTTTAATTCGGGACTTGCAAGGTACAAGCGCATTACCAGCCAGGCGTGCTTCGCCCACCCCACGTCAGACATTCGAGGGTGTGGTTACCAAACCACACGATAAAAAATGCAAGCCATGTGCATGGAACGAACACCAACCACAAAAATGTGACATGCAACAAAGAACATACCCCAGCTTTGCCCAGCACGCCCGACCTATGACGATAAAAATCGAACTACTAATTCACAAAGTCAGCATTCTCTCACACCCCAGCCGCTCACAATGCCCCGCTTTAATCGACGGGAGCAGCTCCCGCTCCATATCAAGCGCGCTATTTGCGCGCACCATGTCGACAACCCCCGCCTGCGTCATGTTGACCTGGCGAGGTGGTGCTACACGCAGTACGGATTGCGCCCGGATCGCTCCACTGTCGGCCGCATATTGAAGCTCGCCGAGCGATGGGCTGCCACGGCAACCGGCGACAACCAAGTGCGCCGTCGAGGTGGCGCATGGCCTGAGCTGGAGCAGGCCATGGCGCGGTGGATCGCAAACGCAGGGCCCGCTGGCGTGCCTCTGACGCTGCAGACCATCCGCGACCATGTCGCGACGATGTCCCGGAACATGGGCATTCCGCCCTCATTCCGCTGCTCCATCGGCTGGGTGCGCCGTGCTTTGAGGCGCCAGGGAGTGAGGTGCCGTGCAGCACAAGGCGAGGCGGCTAGCGCGGACATGGCCGCCGTGCGCCACGCACGTGAGAAGCTGCCGCAACTCCTCACGCATCTCGGTGTCACCCCGCGGGACACTTTCAACCTCGATGAGACGGCGCTCTGGCTGTCAGTCCTCCCTCGGCGCACTTACAGCAACGGCCGCATTCCCGGCCGCAAAGTATTGAAGGAGCGGCTCACTGTGGCATTCCTCGTGAATGCTGACGGGAGCCACGTATTCCGACCGCTCGTGATCAGTAAGGCGAAGCGGCCGCATGACTTCCGCCCGGATTATGACCCTGAATCCCTTTGCTACTGGCGGCACAACGCGAAAGGCTGGATGACCTCGCCAGTAAGCTCGTCGTGTTTTTTTGTGTCGTCCGTTCTTGTTGCTGCGGACAAATTACGCGTAATATCAAATCTGCATGGAATGTGTTTGTGCTTACAATGTTCCACTGTACGTTCCGCCTTCCCCTCCCTTCCCGTCCAAGCAGTTACTCACACATTTCATATCGCAGCTCAATGCTGCGATGTACGCCGAAGGTCGCAAGATCGTGTTGCTGCTCGACAAAGCGAGCAGCCACATGCTCCGCTCTGAGCTCGCATGGAGCGAGATCGTCTGCGGCATGCGGACGACCTGCATGAGCAACGTGCGGCTCGTCTTCCTGCCGCCGAATACCACCGCATTCACACAGCCGCTCGATCAAGGCATCATAGCCACCGTAAAGGCCCGCTACCGACAGCATTGGCTGCGGCCCTTCTCGGCTTTGTGGAACGGCGACGGCGCGACTTCCGCCGTCGCGCGTTTCCGCCTGAACTTGCGCAATGTCCTCGCGTGGCTGTCGGACGCGTGGACCTCGGTCAGCGCGCGCACCATTCAACGGTGCTGGTGGCGCACGGGGTGTCTACCGCTCTCGTGGTCCCTGGAGCTGACGTAGGTACACGACGATGAGCCCTCCCCCGCCGTCTACCCCGACATCGAGCTCGACGACGACATCGACGATGTCGGGACGCTTATTAGCGGGCTCGCCCTCGGGAATGCGGCGATGACGGCCGCAGAGTACGTCGCCATCGACGACGACGAGCCAACCTGCGCCGAGGGCGCTGCGGGACAGCCCACGACTGAGCCGGAGGCGGGCCTAGAGGTGGAGCTCTGGCACGCGCCGACGACCATGCAAGCCGTCGACGACGACGCCGACCTAGTGTGCCGCGAAGCGCGGCGCACTGCACGGGCGGCATGCGAGATGCTCATCGGATATGCACAGGCCACCCGCATCACGCCGCGCGATCTGTGCCATCTGTTCGATATCCGCAACCCCATCGTAATCGCGCGGATGGAGCGGGCGAGCCCGTCATTCAATCTCAACGTGGCGCCTCAGCCCGTACCCTCCCCGGGCGCAACTCCCACACCCGAGACCCCTCGTCCGCGCGGCCGTGTGCTGCCCGGCTGGATGACCCGTCCGTCTCGCCGTCAGGAGTTGTTTGACGCCGGTGTGGGCGCCGTGATGGACGGGTATGTGGACGCGGCTGAGTGGATGCGTCTGTGAGGGGGGGGTGGAGCAGACTTCGCAAGGTGTCGAAGGCATTTTGCTGAGAGCCCAAGTGTTCACTCCTTGTGCCCATTTGTGCGTGTTTCGTTTTGTGTGTTGAATGGAGATGATGGGCCAGGTGGAGGATGTTGATTGGAAGGTGTTTGTGTTTTGACTGTTTTGTACTACGAAGAACAATTGTTGTGCATGCTTGTTTCGGTACTGTAGCCTTCGTTTAGTAACCCTAAACACACAACAGAGACAAGTGCTGCAACCCCTTACTGTTGCGACACAGACAAACTGGGTGGTTACCATGTGCAGTTTTGAAGCACGATGGACGCCTGACGAAATTCACGAATGCCCCGCGAAATGCAGGTTTAGCTTACAGACCCAGTTCACAAGGCAGCCGGGAGGGGCTCTAACGAGCATCAGGTGATGCCCAACCACTGCGCGCGAATTTGCCTTGCACATTTCATAAACTCTGCACCCGTGTTTTTTTTCCCACTCAGCTGCACCCAGGTTATAGGCACGCGGATCAACTTGCATTTGGGCGAGAAAACGCCAAAGTATGAATCTTAGGCGCAAAACAAACCATGCTGACCCGGTAGGTTCTTGTTTCTTGGCCAGAAACAAGCATAAACCCAAAACCCTGAATTGACAACAACACAGGCCCACCAGCACTGTTTTGGAAAAAACAAACGAGTTACAACCTGTGTTTTTTAGAAGCACCTCAACACCCTGGCGAAATGGAACGAACTAGGCGAAATGCCTAAAACGTTTATAAGCCCAGAGCACAACCCAAGTACAGGGGACTCAAACGGGCATCAGGTGTAGTCTACGTGTAGTTTGGCATTCTCGCTAAATCATGCGGTGAATCCGCCAGCTCACAAGCCAGCGCAGCATGACTCGGTGGGAAGCGCGGGGACTGGAAGGGGATGACGCAACTGCTGGGCACTAGAAGCAGGAGGGAATTCTACGGGCAGCACAGCAAGGACGGAAGTCTCGGGATTGGTCAGTCGTCGTGTCGATGTGTTGATCTCAAGCCAACCACGAGACAGCCCATCACGTCTGCTTGCCAGTCGTTATCTTGCTGGAAAATCCTCCGTTGGTAGGGCGAATGAAACGCGTCGGACACACCCTTAGGATCCTCCTCGTCCTTAGTGGATTCCTTCCCTGCCTGCCATTCTCGCCACGATCAATGAATCCACATCGCGAAAAAGGGTTTGGCCAATTTTCGAGTTAAAGTCTGAAAGCTGCAGGAAAGTTGCTGACTTCTATCCTGAATGTATCCAAAAAGCATAGACTGGAAAAAGCAACTCACACAAACTTAGGATACAAGGGGTAACCGAGCCGCGAATTTTGGATACGTGGGTAACCCGAGGCGTGATTTTCGGATTCGTGGGTTTCTCGGACCGCACATTTCTAGCATCAAATTCGACACCTCGGCACCGAACAGCACACCTGATCACGACCAAAATGTGGGAGTCTCTCTTGCTGTGGAACTGCAGGTGTCCGATAGATGAACACTTGGCACAAATTAGGTTAGCATTCTCGAAAGTTGCGAACACGGTAACGTGGATACAAACCGCACGACCGTCGCCAAGGTTCAACCAGGAATCGGAACTGGCAACAGGCACAAGGGTTCACAGTCACACCCAATCAGTGCTAAGTGTTCAGATTTCGGGTACTGACGTGGCTTCCACGGACCAAGGTTCAGCTAACCCGTGACGAAGTGGTCGAACCTAATGATTTTTTACTAACCAATCACTGGGGTGCTCTTGCTTGCAGCAAAAATCAACGGCATATTTTGACGACACTTCAGCACACCTCCAAGCTCTAGAAGCATCTATCTTTCTTACCCTCACTCTGCGCATGACTCTCTCCCGACCAAACACCCGTCACCTGCCTCATTTTCACACAACTGACTAAGGTTCTTCACATCTCCTGCCTCTGAGTGTCCTCTTAGCACAATTAGCGTCTACCTAAAGACCACATCACTTCTACGTGTTATTGCATTTTATTACCACTGCTTGTAACTCAGACCCATGTTATCAATTTGGCCCCTGCGAATCCTCCCCTATCCTTTTACAGATTACACAACAACGTTTTCTACACGCGGAGAACGTGGCACCAGCGACTAGTAACGGAATCGCCAGGTTCCGCGCGAAAAGCGCCGAAAGGTGTGCTACACATGCTTTTTGTAACTCGTAACCAAACTATCATTTTCCCGTGCGTGTGCCTTAGGTTGTAACTCGTTCATCTATTCTCACGGGTTATGCTTCGCGAGCAATCGATCTGTTCGTATCTTGCCGATATGTGTGCAGATCTGTCGCGATGGCTTGTAAGTTCCTTTTTTTCCCGCCCCTGCCAGTCCTCCCATTCCTTAGTGCATTTTAATTAGTTGCACTTCTTTTTTTCCCCAGCCTCCCAATACTGCTCGTCGGCATGCTCAATGCATTACTAGGACCGGTGGCCCGCAAATCGTGTGGGACACGGCGTCTTCAGCGCGAGAAACGCGGTGAGTGTGGTAGTCGCACCAAGGCCTCTCTTTGCCTCTGCTTGAGCTTTTAACCATGCGCGTTCTAACCCCATGTTGTCTGGAGTCCAGCCTGTAACGATAATGTTGTTATGTCTTTTGTTGATGTAGTCATCGTGTTTCAGGGCTGATTTCCATGTGCAGGGTTCATGGAAGTCAATAGATGTTTCCAGGCGTTTGAACAATACCCAGAAGCTCTAAAGCATATCTAAGGCAATGTTATGAGTGACGGTGAAGGCCCGCTGGTGGTAAGTCACTGAGGTGGGGAACAAGCACATGACTAACCAAAGCCTTAACTGAGAAAATTAGAACGAGGATGATGAACTATGAAATGAAGTGAGTACAAATATGAAACCCTAATTGGTTGTACCCCCTATGGGATACCCCACTATAGCCTACACAACAGCATAAGCTATAATGTTCTAACACACCCCCATAGGCAAAGTGGGGGAGAACAAGGGGTCACAAGACCAGTCAAGCAAAGCAAAGCAAAGCAAGCTCAGGGTGGATCACAAAGTCACCACACAGTCCGAGCACAGGGTCAAGGCCACACGGCCAGTTCACATGCATGAGTACACACATATATATAAAGCTAGGCAAGCAAGAGCAGGTATATATATATGTGAGAGTACAAGCAAGGTCAAGAGGAGAGCAAGTGAGACAAGACGGGCACAAGACCCAGCTGAGTGCAGAAGCGCTGATGATCACAAGGCGGAAGTGCCTTGGTGAAGACATCAGCAGTGTTGGCCTCAGAGGCCACGTACGCAAGCCGCAACTGTCCACGCTGCTGTAGCTCACGAGCAAGGAAGTAGCGAAGAGCAATGTGCTTTGTTCTGTGCTCCAGTCGCTGCTCTCGACACAAGGCCAGCATGGCCTTGTTGTCTACGTACAGGACTGGAGGAGAACGAGGCGGCTCTCCAAGGTCGGTCAGCAGGTAGGTGAGCCAGCGAAGCTCCTGTGCAGCCATGGCCCCGGCGTAGATCTCAGCCTCACAACTGGAGCCAAGAACAGAAGACGAGCGAGTAGCCCGCCACGAAACAGAGCCGGAACCAAGGCTGAAGGTGTAACCCTGTGACGACCGCTACGTAGCCTGGTCGTCAGCCCAAGAAGCGTCCGCGTGCCTAGTGAGGACCACTGGACTCCGCCCTCCAAGCACTAGCCCCATGCCCGACGTACTGCACAGGTAGCGCAACACCCTCTTCGCTGCAGCCATGTGCTCTGGTCGGTGTCTCCCAGGAGCAACATAGCGTGCGAGAATGCTAAGAGGGTATGCAAGGTCAGGTCGTGTGCAGGTCATCAGGTACATGAGGCAGCCAACAAGCTCTGGGTACGGACCACTCGACTCTACGGACTCATCCGAAGGCAGAGCTGAGAGCGAGTGGCGAGTAGACAGAGGAGTGGCCTGAGGCGAGGAGTACGTGAAGCCGAAGCGCTGAAGGACCTGCTGCACCATGTGTGACTGAGTCAGGGTAATGGTGCGGCGTGCTCTGTCCCGGGTGATCTGCAAGCCAAGGTAGCTGCGCAGTTCACCCAGGTCTGTGCACGTGTGTCTCTTCTGCAGTTCGGACTTCACGTAGGCGAGTCCAGTAGTGTCAGCTGTGGCAAAGACCAAGTCGTCGACGTACACGAGGATGTAGAACGGCGGCAGAGAGGTGTCGGTGCGCAGAAACAGCGACGGGTCGGCAGTAGAAGGAGCAAACCCAAGAGCCGCAAGCGTAGTCCTCAGTGTGTCGTGCCACCCACGTGGCGCCTGGCGGAGACCGTAGACTGGACGCCGGAGACTCCACTGGGTACCAGGAGGGAAAGACCCAGTGAAGCCAGGTGGGCGACGCAGCCAGATCTCCTCGTGCAGGCTGCCATGCAAGAAAGCTGTGCTGAAGTCAAGAGAGTGCAGCTCGTAGTCACGGTGAGCAGCTATGTGCAGCAGTACCCGAAGAGTGGTCATCTTCGGGGTGGGGGAGAAGGTCTGAAAGTAGTCAACTCCCTGCCGCTGACTGAAGCCACGAGCCACGTAACGCGCCTTGAAGACAGGCGGAGAACCCGGCGGCCGCTTCACCCTGAAGATCCACATGCCACTGACGATGTTCGCCCCAGGAGGGGGGACAGCGTCAACGTAGGTGCCTGTGGACTTCCAGGAAGCCATCTCTGCATCCATAGCTGCCTGCCACTGAGAGGAGTAGGGACCCTCTATCGCCTCCGCGTAAGAGCGCGGAGTCGGGATGTCAAGTGCATCCGGGTCTCCCTCAGGGGTAAGCAGTACGGACACGAGATGAGGTGAAGCAGCTGCCAGACACTGGAACTCCTCCTGCCTGTCCTCAAGGACGTCCGTGCCAAGGGCACACTCACCCCCGACGGACGGAGGACAGACAGACTCAGACTTAGCGACAAGACTAGCAGCGTAGTCTAAGCGAAAGCGAGCAGCAAAGTCGACGAGATCAGTAACGAGAGCAGACGCAGCAGTAGACTCGAAAGAAGGGTCAGTGACAACAGTAGCAAGGAGACGCATGACAGTAGGACTGGCAGCACGAAGAGAGTCCGACTCAGGGTCGGCAAGTGCAGGAAGAGAGGACTCAGGAGGGGAAGGCAAAGGGGCACGCAGAGGAGCAGTAGACGGACGCAGAGACATCCGGTGCGTGCCAGGGACAGGAGGAGGACGCTGGCGTGAACCGCGACCACTAGCGCGAGCAGCTCTAACAGGCGACGCAGGACGAGACGCAGGCTCACGACGCTCAGTAAGACCTCCAGTAGGACCAGCGTAGGGAGAAGGAGCAGGCAGAGGGGAGGTAGGCTGTAGCTGTGACTGTGACGGGATAGGATGTGGACACTCTAAGGGAGGAGGAGGACCAGTAGAAGGAGGAAGACCAAGAACCTGCTGCAGGAGTGGAACAAAGTACGGTCGAGGCCGCGTGACGACGCCAGAAGCAGCAGGGACAGCACCGGTACCCTCAGCAGGAGCACCCGCTCCAGCAGCACCTCCAGCAGCACCAGGAGCACCCCCAGTAGGACCGCCAGCGGTAGTCTCAGCGCCAACACCCTCAGCAGCACCAGCTCTAGTCGAACCCGTAGGCCCAGCAGCTCCAGTACTCCCAGTACGAGCACCTCCGGGACCCGCGACCGCAGCACCCTCAGCAGCCGAAGAACCTCCCACACCAGCAGTACGGCGCCAGCGCCGGGCAAACCACTCGCGCAGCTCCTGTGGAGAGAGTGGCTCCCGGCGAGAAGAAGCACCCGGAGAACCTCCAGGCGGAGCACCTCCCCTCTCAGCACCCCTAGGCGTAGCACCTCCAGGCTCAGCACCCCCAGGCGTAGCACCTCCAGGCTCAGCACCCCTAGGCGTAGCACCCCCAAGCTCAGCACCCCCAGGCTCAGCACCCATAGACGCAGTACCCCCAGGCTCAGCACCCCCAGACTCCGCACCCCCAGGTCCAGCACCCCCAGGCTCAGCACCCCCAGCAGCACCAGAGTCACCAGTGACCTCGACAGGCTCGACTGCGTCTACCTGGGACACACCTGAAGGGGCAGGACCCTGAGGGGGGAGGGAGTCTACCTGGGGGGGACCTGGTACAAGGAAGAGCGGGGGTGGGGGGAGGGACGGAGTGCGGTAGGGGAAGAGGCGGTAGTAGGGGACCGACTCGTCAAACGTGACGTCCTGGGAGGACAGAACACGCCGAGAGGTGGGGTGGTAGAACTGCCACCCAGGCGCGTCAGGGGGGAACCCCAGGAAGACGCAAGGAGCAACACGAGGGGACAGCTTGTCCGCAGACAAGTCGCGGACAAACGCCCGAGATCCCCAGACCCGGAACGCCGACGCATCGCCAACCTTCCCCGTCCACAGTAAGGCTGGGGAGGTCTCCGGCCTGGAGACCCTGGGGTGGAGGTTGATCTGATGTGCCGCGTACCTGACCGCAAACGGCCACAGAAAATGGGGGGCAGCCGCATGCATCATAGACGTACGAGCGACGTCCATGACCATGCCAATGCGGCGCTCAGCAATCCCATTTTGCTGCGGTGAGTCCGCAAGCGTGAAGGTCTGACGGATGCCTCGTGCGCGACAGTAGGCTCGCAGTAGGCCAGAGGAAAACTCTCCGCCTCTGTCCGAGTGCAGACGCAGAACAGGGAAGTCCGAGCCAAAGCTCCGCCTGAGCTGGAGACGAGCCGCGCGGATCCAGTCGATCAGCACCTCAGTGACATCACCCTTGCTGCGCAAGGGGAAGACCGTGGTATAACGCGAGTAGTCGTCAACAACGAGCAGGAAGTAGCGCTCGTGACCCTGTCCACGGACGCGGGCCGGGCCCCACACGTCCATGTGAAGCGTCTGCAACGGGGCCTCTGTCGGAGGAAACTGGGAGGACTGAGGGGCAGCCCGCTGGCGCCCCTCGACACAGGGGACACAGGCAGGGCCAGGGCCCTGAGGAAGGGGAGGGAGGGACCGGGGGAGACCAGTCACAAGAAGACGGGAGGCCATGCCTCTGAGCCGAAGCAGAGAGGGGTGACCAAGACGGTGGTGCCAGAGGAGAGTCTCATGAGACAAGAGACGACACGAACAGGGGGCAGACTCAGGACCAGACCTAGACGCTGCAGCAAACACCTGACCGGACGAAGCGACTCTACCAGACTCAGTAACGGGAGGAGACGCAGTGGTCAGTGTGTACAGGCTCGACCCCGGCTGACGGGTAAACGTAGCCAGGTGCCGGCCTGTGCTAGCCTCTGTACAGTGCGTCACCCGCTGACGCGCAGGAGTGAACAAGTGTACTCCCCCATCCTGTAGGTCAGCACCACTCACCAGGTTCGTCGAGAACGAGGGGAGGTAGAGACCAGATAGGGTGCCAGAGGGAGCCGCCGGACACGGGAGGACTGTGGAGAAGCGAGACAGTACAGGACCCCCGGAGGGGTCAGCCAGAGACACCGCAACCGGCCGACTAAGCGGCGTGAGTGTGGTGCGGTCCCGAAAGAAGGAGCGAGACGCCCCAGAGTCAAGAGTGAAGGTGAGGGAGGCCGAAGCCGACGTAGTACCTGAGAGCGCAGACTCACCAGTACCTGAAGACGCAGACACACTAGCACCTAGAGCAGCAACGTCGCAAGCACCTAGGGCAGCAGCCTCAATGCCCGGATCGGGCGGGAAACAGCGGTAGCAGTCACCCTCATCACTATGAGACACAGCATACATGGCAGAGAGAATAGCATCAAAGTCAAGATCAAAGATGGCAACACCCGCCCTAGACAGCTCGCCCCAGCGAGGAATCTCTCAGGCCTCCGGGAACTGGTGACGCCACGCGTCCGTCAGGCGGCCAAAGCAGCGCTGGGTGGGGTGCGGGCCCCCACACTGCTCACCCGCACGGTCGCCGGTGCGCAGGGCGTAGGTGCACGGACCAAAACCCCCACCCCGCTGGCGTGCAGTGTACCACTCACGGAGCTGCTGAGGGGATAGGGTCTCACGACCACGCTGCTGCTGCTGGCGCGCGCCACTACCGGAGCCACTCCTCTGCGAAGACCCGCGACCAGCTCCACCGCCACCCCAACCGCCTCCGCCGCCTCCGCTACTGCCGCCGCCTCCACCGCCGCCTCCACCGCTGCCTCCACCGCCGCCTCCACCGCTGCCTCCACCGCCGCCTCCTCCGCCACCTCCGCTCCCACCGCCACCGCCGCCGCCGCCTCCGCCTCCACTGCCGCCACCGACTCCCCCACCCGCACCTCCACTCCCACCGCCACCCCCGCTACCCCCACCGCCTCCACCTCCACCTCCACCGCCCGCTCCTCCAGCTCCCTTGCCCCCCTTGCCCTTGCCAGGGCGGCGTCTCCCGCTAGGGGCAGACGCCGCACCGACCGACTCAAGACCAAGGAGGTCGGCCGTAGCAGCAGAGGCAACAGAGGGCAGCAGGGGGGAGGGGGAACACCCCTCAAAGATGGGGGTGCGCGGGTCACCTCGAGAGGCTCCTACAGCGACTATACTCTTCTCCGCTGCTAAGAGGGCCTTCTCGAGGAGATCGACAGTGAGTGTGGTGGGACAGACTGAGAGAAAGTGGTCCCTGACTACTCGAAGGGAGTCAGGAAGGCGAGTGACTAGGAAGTACAGAGTGATGTACATGGGGGGGGGGTTCTTGGCGCAGAATTCAGCAGGGAGTGCAGCGCGGTAGCGAGTGTCACTAGTGCGGAGGTGCGTAATGAGGTCAGCCACGGTGGGAAAGGCAGCAAGGTCAGGGAAGAGGTACGGTAGCATGAGACGGCTCAGTGCAGCCGTGGCAGGGGAGGAGTAGCGCGCGACTACAGCGTCGTACAAGGTCTGAGCACTCTTGTACTGACTAAAGTGCGCACGCTCGGAGGTAGGGAGGTGGCGACGCACAGCAAGACGTGCAGCAGCGTCGCGCGTGGCCCACTGGGAGCGAACAGTGGCGTCAGCATCAGCAGCAGGGGCAGAGGAAGCGCCAGAGGTAAGGTCAAAGAGAGAGAGGCCGTCTGCCCTATCGCACTGTAAGAACAGCTGCAGGCCGTCTACCCATACCTCAAAGTCAATGGCCCGACCCTCAGCGTCAAAAGCGAGGACACTAGGGGTAGCCATGACGACAGTAGCCTAGCAGTACGAACTGTAGGACAGGGGCAGTGCAGTGACAGGAGCGCTGCTCTCACCAGACAGGGCGGGTCGGGCAGCTCAGCAGCACAGCAACACGGCAACACGGCTGCTTGGACGGCTCAGCAGCAACTGCGGTTCGGGCGGCTCGGGCGGCTCGGCTCCACAGCGGCTCAGGCGGCTCGGGCGGCTCGGGCGGGTCGAGCGGCTCGGCTCTTCAGCGGCTCAGGCGGCTCGGGCGGCTCGGGCGGCTCGGGCGGGTCGGGCGGCTCGGGCGGCTCGGGCGGGTCGGGCAGCTCGGGTGGCGCGGGCGGTATAGGGCCGTAGGGCCGCTGGTAGGGCGGTGGGGCCGCAAGGTAGGTGGCGGGGCCGCTGTGGGAGGCGGCGGGGCCGCAGTGTGAGGCGGCGGGGCCATAGCGAAGAACGGCGGGGCCGCAGCGAGAGGGGCGGCGGGGCCGCAGAGACGGGCGGCGGGGCCGCAGTGAGAGGCGGCGGGGCCGCAGCTAGAGAGGCGGCGGGGCCGCGGAGACGGGCGGCGGGGCCGCAGAGACGGGCGGCGGGGCCGAAGTGAGAGGCGGCGGGGCCGCAGCGAGAGAGGCGGCGGGGCCGCGGAGACAGGCGGCGGGGCCGCTGAGACGGGCGGCGGGGCCGCAGTGAGAGGCGGCGGGGCCGCAGCGAGAGAGGCGGCGGGGCCGCGAAGACGGGCGGCGGGGCCGCTGAGACGGGTGGCGGGGCCGCAGTGAGAGGCGGCAGGGGCCGCAGCGAGAGAGGCGGCGGGGCCGTGGAGACGGGCGGCGGGGCCGCTGAGACGGGCGGCGGGGCCGCAGTGAGAGGCGGCGGGGCCGCAGCGACGGGTGGCGGGGCCGCAGTGAAGGGCGGCGGGGCCGCAACGAGAGAGGCGGCGGGGCCGCAGAAAAGGGCGGCGAGGCCGCTGAGACAGGCGGCGGGGCCGCAGTGAAGGGCCGCTAGGGCGGCTCGACGAAGTGAGGGCCCGGAGCGCGACTCGGGCTGAGCGCGCTTCGGGCAGGAAAAAAAAACTCGATGTGGTGGGCCCTAAGCACAGTTCCCAAGGGGGAACCTGCTCGATACCATGAGAAAATTAGAACGAGGATGATGAACTATGAAATGAAGTGAGTACAAATATGAAACCCTAATTGGTTGTACCCCCTATGGGATACCCCACTATAGCCTACAGAACAGCATAAGCTATAATGTTCTGACATTAACGTTATGTCATTGTTTTGTTTGCAGGCGTTAAAACGACACATTTTTTCGCCATGTGTGCCCTTCATATAAGATGTTTAGCTACGTTTAAGTACTTGGGTCTAGCTGTGTTCATTGTTCTGCTGTGTTATCGCAAAGTGTATACTTCAGAAGTATGTACGCAAATGTCAGAAATATTGTGTTGCAGACGAATGTATACATAAAAAATAGCAATAACAATCAGCCAGTGAAACGAAATCTCCGCTTGTGCAGTTCAGGCAAAACGGCGGCTTGTAGAAATCAAGTTTCGCACACTTCAAGGTCATGTCTGATTGGCCCACATGGCAAGTTGCCGTACACATATCGAGAATGACACCTGGCACAAATATCTTTGCTTACGTGGCAAAAAATCTTCACGTACGTACCAGCGTACGTACACTTTGAAGTCGAAACTGTGCGCAGGCCACGTGGCAGGTGGTGAAACTGCATACATGTGACTGAAATGTATACGCAACGTGTCCAAAGATTGTTCGATAAGTTGCGGTTGTGTTGCGGGAAAGTTGCAGGAATGCAACTTTTTCGCAACTTTCCCGCAACCACGATCTCTGCAACATTTGACCATAACTGGAAAGTTGCAAAACCAAGGTATCCAAAAAGTATATTTTTTGCAACATTCCCGCAGCTTTATGGCAAGCCCTTTTTCGCGATGCACCAGCTGATACACCTAGTCCGCGGTATTTTAACCAGGTGAACTTTGTTGTTTCAAACCCCCTTTGTTCGTTTCTGGGTAATGTTATTAGCACCCAAAGTCATCGAGGCTACGATTCTGCAGCCGAAAGCACTTCCGTCTAAGGAACTCACACTTAGTGCTCCAAGATAGACGGATTGACATTTGTCACACTCGGCATTCACAGAGTTTTTTCTGCTGTCATCTCGCGAAGGGAATGCTAGATTCTACCCTCGTAAAGTTTGAAACAACCCGACTAAATAAGTTTGATAAAGGAGAAGTACCCTCGCGTGGTTAAGATAGCGCCGGTTAAAATACCGCGGACTAGGTGTAAGCCCAGCGCAGCAGGACGCGGTGCCGCGGAAGGCACAGTGCAAACCGGGGATAAAGCTTTTATCAGCAAGGGTGGCTAGCGCGGAAATTATTTCCCCGCGAGTGTCGGAAGTGACAAATTCCCTTCGTTTCAAAGTCAAGTCGGCATTCTTCGCTCGTTAGACGATAAAGACAGATAAGAATCGTGCAGCAGCCATGCCGCTACTCACTTCAAAGGTGCTCAAAAGCACCGATCCTGGTTGGTTGCGCATCAACGCACAGTTATGCCGCCTGTGGAATTGTGTGTCAAATCTCTAGCAGTCTCACATTAAAACGAGGCTCCAAGTTGGACTGTGGAGCTGCCTCGCGCTGACGGTGGTAGTATGGGCATGATGGGCACTCTTTTCACGCGTATGATTACCGCCAGCCACGCCAGCCCCTCACTTCTCTCCTTCGTATCGTAGCGGGTTGGTTGTGGGCCTGCCGTTACCACACACGTCGAATATGAGCGACAGAAGACCTTTTCCTTGGAATGAGGAGTGGTACTACCCATGCACCCCTTTTCTTTCCATATCTCTCTGTCATCTTCTCCGTTACAAACTATCGGGTTCAGAGGGGCGGTTTCACTGATTCGGCTTCCATCCAATTCCGTCTTGCAATTCGAGTAGCAGCACTTCACAAGAGAAAGAAACGAGGCGTTCCAGTGACCTGGCCTACCGGAACCTCCTCAGCAAACCAGAGTTTGAAAAACTTGTCCCGAGAGATGGACCAGCAAGGCCGCGTTTATTATCAACTTAAAGCAACCTACCCTATGGAGGAGTTGCTGGGGCGCCATCATGACGAGGCCGTTCCCAAGATTGGAGCCTCTTTCGAGACGCAGAGCGACATAAATACATGCGAAGGCAGATATGGACGGTCAGGATCGAGCTCTGCGTCTGCATCGGGGGGAACCAATCCAGTACAACTTCTATCAGGGGAGGGCCTCTTGGGGGGAAATCCCAGCATTGCATGTGCATCTGCATCAGTGGTAACCAGAGCCCAAGATCTTACCATTGAAGCCAGGAGGATCGAGCTTCTCCCCATGTTTGACGCGCAGATATGGAATGAGGAGGAGAGTGGTCTGTTGGAGGAGCAGTTGCGGCGCCATGGGCGCCATGTTCGCCTTGAAGGCGGCATCAGCCTGTCATGCGCTATCATCGCCCCGCCCTGTATGCAAGACCAGCCACACCCACCTTCTGAGGACACTCGAATCTCGACTCGGAGTGAGCAGGAGAGTGGTCTGTTGGAGGAGCAGTTGCGGCGCCATGGGCGCCTTGAAGGCGGCATCAGCCTGTCATGCGCTATCATCGCCCCGCCCTGTATGCAAGACCAGCCACACCCACCTTCTGAGGACACTCAAATCTCGACTCGGAGTGAGCCGGAGAGTGGTCTGTTGGAGGAGCAGTTGCGGTGCCACGAGCGACTTGGGAAACCGATCAGCGTCCCTCCTCACTTCATCAACGACAAGCCTCATGACAAGCCTCACGACAAGCCTCACAACAAGCCTCACAACAAGCCTCCCACACATGCTGAGGATCTTCGAATCCGGAATCAGAAATCCGGCCACGGGCAAATTGAAAATTCCACTGTGGTGCCGAAGACGTTCGCGTATCTGCCTCGCTTGCCAGTGCCGCCCCAGGAACCGGACTTGACACGCAACGACCACAGCCACAGCCACGACCACGACCTTGCTTGCCAGTGCAGCCCCAGGACCCGGGGCTGTGCAGCCAAAGGACCCAGGACTGTGGAACCCGACGTGACATGCCACGGCCACAGCCACGGCTGGCTTGAAGAATCCACTGTGGCGCCATTCGTGTATCGACCTAGCTTGCCAATGCACCCCCAGGAGCCCCTGGCACTTCCGTCCCATTCAAAGGGTCCTTCTGCAATCCCAGCTTTCGAGAGAGCCGTGGGTGGGCTTTTCACAGAGGAGCAGCGACAGCAAGTGGCAGTGGAGAGCTGGATCGCACATGCCTTGAGCGCCTCTGCATCAGAGGGGATTCTTGAGACGCCTCAAAGCCTAAGCGCCTCTCCTCAAAACCTGAGCGCCTCTCCTCAAAGCCTGAGCGCCTTCGTGACAGAGAAAATGGCCCAGCAGCATCTGGTGCAGCAGCAGCAGCAGCAAGTGGCGACAACCAGCTGGGTGGAACACGCTGAGCTGGCAGGGCTGGCTCTGCCGCCCAATCTGATCCGAGAATCTGCACTTGCCGCCCGGTTCGCGCAGAAGCAAATGCAGATGCAGGAGAAAGTTTCTGGTGCTTTCTGCCGGCCTGCTGCCTCTGGGGCCTGTTACAAGCGCGAAAGAGGCCATGGCTTGACAGAGGGAGAGCCTTTTGAGAAGTCTCGAAGGCCTCTCTTCTCACATACCACCACTCCTGATGTTTGCTGCACAGACGCTGTGCCTGGTGCTTCCTGCTCAGCTGCTGCCTCCACGGATGTTTACTGCTCAGCTCCTGCCTCCACGGATGTTTACTGCTCAGCTGCTGCCTCCACGGATGTTTACTGCTCAGCTGCTGCCTCCACGGATGTTTACTGCTCAGCTGCTGCCTCCACGGATGTTTACTGCTCAGCTGCTGCCTCCACGGATGTTTACTGATCAGCTGCTGCCTCCATGGATGTTTACTGCTCAGCTACTGCCTCCACGGGTGTTTACTGCTCACCTACTGCTCCTGGTACTCCCGGTGTTTGCTACGCATCCGCTGCTCCTGGTACTCCCTGCCCACCTGCTGCCACTCCTGGTGTTCGCTGCACACCCGTTGCTCTTGCTGTTTGTCATGAGTCGGAAAGAGGAGACGCCTTGGCAATGCAACAGCCTCCTGCCACGTGCACGCACCTGGTTGGATTGGAGAATGCTCTGCATACTTTTGACGCGAAGCAAAAGTCACCTCTTGAGGCGTCGCAAGTAACGACTGCTAAGACACCACATGTAGTGCCCTTTGAGGCGTCGCAAATGCCGCCTGAGGACTGGCGGCCGCGCATTCGAGCACGGTTGGATGGGCAAGCGGTGGGGCTGGGATGCATTCAGCCAAGGAGCATGAAGGAGAGGTGCCGCCGTGATCGCATCAGGTGAATTCACCCTCTAATTCCATCCCTTTTTTTTCTGTCTTTCCTGGGGGTGGGCACTTGGCTTTGTTTTTCCTTGATTGGCTTGTGAGTATGACCTGGATAAGATTCGAAAACGATTCTGTGACCTTATTCTAATCTGCTTGTGTTGAATGTGATTGTATCAGGAGAGGCCTTGAAAAGCTTCATAGAGCACTACCACCATCTCTGGCAAGATCACAACTCGATACAGCCACAATGGTGGAGTCTGCGCTCACTTATATCAAAGACCTACAGGTACAATCACATGTTCTAATATCTTATCTGAACCAATGTTGGTGATTGGTTCTTTTTACTGAATCTGACGAACACATATGCATATTTCCACAATATGTGTGCCACTTATGAGCCAGACATGTGCCACACATGCTCCTCTGCCACCCAAACCTCTAACTGTCTTCGAGACACCTCAAGGTTACTTTTCCATGGCTCAAAGTTCCCTTATTCTGTTGTTCATGTGTTCATGAATTCACGTGTTCATGCATTCACGTGTTCATGCATTCACGTGTTCATGCATTCACGTGTCCATGCATTTGCGGGTCCATGCATTTATGCGTCCATGCATTTATGTGTCCATGTGTTCATTTGTTCATTTGTTCATGCATTCACGTGTACATCATGTGTTCATGTGATCATGCACCCATGCAGGTCCGAATTGAAGCCATGAAGAATTTGATTGGTGTTGCTGTCGGGACTTGAGATCTGCAGGAGGTGGAGTAGACAGCACGTGACTCAGCAACAGGTGCATTCCGGGTGACAGCTCAGTCGATCTAACCATCTCTGGAGACACCGAGCGTTGCTTCAAAGGGAGCTTTCAGGGCGGCTCTTGAAGTGAATCAAAAGCCACCAGTAGTTGTTAGAGTATAAGCAGAATGGTGTACTCCAATACACTCAGAGCGTGTTCCTACGGCTTCTAGTCAGACTGGCCTCTTGTCAGACTCGAGTAAAACACTACAATTTCGGATTGAACAGGCTTTTTAAATCACGTATTTTGTTGTTTGGCGAAGTGCTCTGCAAAACGCGTGGGTGACGTGGCACTACGCAACGCTCCCACAAAGTTGCTAAGGAACAATTGCGAGTCCTGACAAGTCACAGGTGATTGAAACGTGCGTTTGGGGGCTGAAAAATATTTGTATGCTTCATACCCCGACAAAACAGTGTCCTTTTCGCCGAAACAGTGTTTCAACCATTTCCTGACACTGGTTCGCAGAAACAGCACTCACGTGTGAAAGGTTTGCGCAACCAATTCGTCGCGCTCGCGCAGCACTGGTTTATGTTCAAGTCTGAAATCTGTGTTAATAAAGAAATCGCTCGAAGCACCAAGTCTGATCAGAGGTCAGCCTGTTAGGGGCCCGTAGGAACACGCTCTCAATATATTGTGGTTTGCGTGTTTAAGACCCATGCGCGTGCATGTCACCTCCAGTGATACACCCACTTATTCGTTTGATGCACCCGCGATTGTGCCACCGGCTCGGTACGTTCACATAGAAGGTTGAGAGCGATGCGTTTATGTCACATAGAATCGATTCACACACGTGATCAGTTCAGCATTGAATTGCTAAGCGTCGAAGAAAATTGGTGGCAGAACACTACAGTTACACGCATTCGCGCTAAAGACGAAGCCAAATTTATTAGTCATGATTAGGTCAGGCCGGCCTACAGTTCCAAAAACGTATTTATAGCCACATTTTGGGAGCAAGGGACGGCAATACGCAGGAAAATGTGACTCGCAGACGTTAAAAGCACCGGGCGAATAGGACAAGCACCTCCGACCGAAACGCGCTTGGTGAGATAAACGAATAAGTGGGTGTACCTACCTACGGTACATCACTCGTTAATGGACATCTGCTTTTGTGCCAGGGTGTCAAATATTATAGCCTGTAGTGTGTTGGGCCATATGGGGTACAACTAGTTAGGGTTAGGTGATGTACCCCAATTCTGTCAACACAACGCATTCCGCTGTAGTTCTCATTTTGACATGGTATCAGCAGTAGGTTAGCGCTCCTAGTCCTAGGCCCGCCTTTCCCTACCACTAGGGTTACCACTGCACCCTGCCAGCCCGCCAGCGCCCTACCCCACGCCCCAGCCGGCGCGCCCCTCCCCTCCCCGCCCTTAGCCAGCGCGCCCGCCAGCCAGCCAGCGCGCCAGCCAGCCAGCGCACCAGCAGCCTGCGCGCCAGCCAGCCAGCCAGCGCGCCAGCAGCCAGCGCGCCAGCCAGCCAACGCGCCAGCCCGCCAGCGCACCAGCCAGCCAGCGCGCCAGCCCGCCAGCGCGCCAGCCAGCCAGCGCGCCAGCCACCCAGCGCGCCAGCGCGCCAGCCAGCCTGCGCGCCAGCCCGCTTGCACGCCAGCCCGCCAGCGCGCCCGCCAGCGGGCGCACCAGCGAGCCCGCCGGCTCACCTGCCAGCGCGCCCGCCAGCGAGCTCGCCAGCGCGCCCGCCAGCACGCACGCCAGCGCGCCCGCTAACGCGCCCGCCAGCGGGCCCCGCCAGCGCGCACGCCAGCGCGCCGCGCCCGCCAGCGCGCGCCCTGCTTAGCCGCCCACCAGCGCGCCGCGTCCGCGCGCCACGCCAGCCAGCGCGCCGCGCCGGAGCGCGCCCCGCCAGCGCGCGCCCCGCCGCCCCGCGCCCAGCCAGTGCGCGCCCCGCTTGCGCGCACCCGCCTCGCACTCACCTCCCTCTCCTCCTCCTCTCGCGGCTGGCGGCCGCTATCAGTTCTCCTCGCCCCTCATGGCGACGTCTCGCGTGCTCCGTTTCGACCCTGAGGGGCGTGCGATCGACTTTAGTACCTGGCTGACGCCGGCCCAGCGCCACCTTAGGAGTCAGCGCCAGGATGGCGTGCACCTGTTTGCGCATGCGTCCGGTGCTCTGCCCGCCCCGCCGCAGCCTTCACCGCTGCCCACTACCCCACCGCCTACTTCCGAGCAGGAGGCTGAGTACCAGCGCCGGTTCCTCGCTCGTGACGTGTGGGAGTCTCGTGACGCTGCTGCCTGCCTCGCCCTGACCGACCTTCTCCCGCCGACTGAGGCTGTCCACTTCACTCAGGTCGAGTCTGCTGCAGACCTTTACACTGCTATTGTTGCTCGCTACTCCACTCCCTCCTCTGCCTCCCTCAGCCGCCTCCTCGTCCCCTTTATCTACCCTGACCTCGCCTCCTTTGAGACTGTCGCTGACCTCGCTACCCACCTGCGCTCCCTTGAAGCTCGCTTCAAGGCCGCTTGCACTGAGGAACAGCTTGCCCTTGCACCCCCCCCCATGTGGCTCACTATTCACTGGTTAGTCACTCGCCTCCCTGACCGTCTAGCCACAGCCCGCGACGCGCTTCTCCTGAAGCACCCCACTGAGCTTACTATCGATCTTCTTGAGACCGCTCTCTCGAAGATCGAGAGTAACCTCCTCGCTGTTGCCTCCGCCTCTTCCGCGCCTCCTCCTCGTCTCTTTGAGGGGTGTGCGGTACCACAGCTTCCCACCTTCACTGCCTCGCTTGCCACTGGCGCGTCTTCTGCCTCTAAGGAGACGGCGGCCGTTTCTGTCTCTGGCGGACAGAAACGTGGCAAGTCCGGCAAGAAGGGAGGGAAGGGCGGCGGGGGTTCTGGGGGTGTTGTGGGTGGCGGCGGTGGCGGTAGTACTAGTGGCGGGGGTGGCGGCGGGGGTGACTCGGGACCTGATGGCTCTCCTCTAGACGGTGGTGAGGGGTTTTCGCAGCAGCAGCAGCAGACTCCTCCGCAGCTGCCACCGCCTGGACAGCAGCAGCGGCAGGGACAGCAGCAGCAGCGCCAGGGCCAACAGCAGCGTCCGCCTCAGCAGCAGCCCCAGCAGTGGGGCACTCTGCAAGCAGTGGGGCACTCAGCAGCAGTGGGGCCCTTCGCAGCAGTGGGCCCCCCCGCAGCAGTGGAGACCTACGGGCCCCCCGAGCACTGGGCGCAGTGGTGCCCCTTCTAGTCGGGGACCCCGCTCGGCCGGCCGCGACGTTGGTCCCTGTGAGTACTGGATCCTGACGGGTCCGCGCAGGGGCACGTACTGCGGCCGCCCTGACCACTCTGCTGCACGCTGCTTCAGCCATCTTGTCGACCTGTACGTCCTGCACCACGGTCCCTCCGCTCCCCCGCCACCGCGCTGGGGACCACTCCTTGCTCGTGGTGTTGCTGTGTTTGATATGTCTATGGATGATGCTAGGTCTTATGCCATGTATGCTGATGTTGACTATAGTGCTGTCGGATCTGTTTACTTGCCTGTACCTAGCGTAGGATCTTTGCCTGTTGCTAGAGTAGGTGCTGGTGTAGGATCCTGTCTAGCTACTAGTACAGGTGCTCCCTCGGCGGACGCGTCGCTCTCCTTCACACTGGACTCCGGAGCGACGCAGTGCTTCTTCCGCGACAGCACGACTCTTACTCCACTCTCGGCGCCGGTTTCTGTAGCACTGGCCGATCCCTCTTCGGGACCGGTCATTGCGACTCACGCCACTACCCTCCCGTGCCCAGCTGCCCCTTCCGGTT